AATTATATTAATTATATTATATTATATTATTATATTATATTATTTATTACATTACACTACACTACACTACACTACATTACATTACATTACATTACATTATTTCTCCTCTTCTGCTTTAAATTTAAATGCTGCTTTAAATTTCAGATCCCCAACCCCCTGGCAGGTGCTGTGCAACAAAATATAATTCTTGGTGGCTCTCCAGTGTTGGATACAGGCCGAAAGGTAAAAAGTCTCAGTGGAGAAAGGCATCAGATTTCTTGATGTTGTCTCTTTTTGTTCTAGGAAGCAAACCAGGGTTGCATGTTGGCATCCCACTGATCCAGAAATGGTTCACAGAAGGCGCACCAAGGAGCTAAAGAGCTCCATTGTTTTGTGCTGATGATCATGACCAGCACAGATGAACACCTAGAACTATGTTGGTGTTTTGTCCCAAGAAACAGCATAATCTTAATTCTTTACCTGGTTTCCCCATACTGCTTCTCTAGTATTTGATGTTCAGAAATAAAGAAAGCTACCCTTCCTCTCCAAGAAAATAAATGAAGTGCCTTATAAGACCCAGGGAAAAAGTAAAGGTGTAGGTGAGCTCTGGATGATGGCAAAGCACGTCAGTGGTTAGAGTAAAGGGGAAGCTGGAAGGAGCATTTTGCAAATAGCATAGTTAGCAAAAGTGGATGGAAAATCCAATGGGTTTGTTTATTTTCTGGGCTAAAAAAATTAACTCAGAATTCACACACTCTCCCCAAATCCAACTTATGTATCTTTTGCAGAATAAGCTCGAGAGAATCACAGAGTAGAGGATGAGGTGTCGGGATAGGTTCCATTCCATTTTGAAGCATAAAAGTTCTCTGGATAACTTGGGCCCAGTCATTATGTCTCAGTCCAATCCAGCCTATCTCACAGGGTTATTGTAGGGTAAAATTGGAGCAGGGTCTTGTTTGAGGGCCAACAGAAAAGGGAGATCTAGATCTAGAGTATTCATGTGGTTACTGTTGCGTTCTTCATTATTTTTCTGCCTCTACTAGGAAGATCCAGATCCTGACTTTGCCACCTTTGTACTTTTGACAGTGGGAAAGGTTTCTTACTAATCTTCCCTAAATATCCCCCCCCCCACCTCCATAGGAGATTTTTTTTAGATGCTGCTCACACAACTTCATGAAAGCTACAAAACTGCCTTTTTGTTTTTGTCCTTTCATTGGAAGTAAACACTGTGATTCACAGAATAGTGGTTCTCAGTGTCTGTTTGGGATGGAGGGATTGTGGATATTTGCCCAACTGGATCTCAGTTTGATTTGGTTTGATTTCAATTTTCCTTACAGAAGCCAGCATGGAGTGAACATAAAGCCCCGGATGGGCGGATCTATTATTATAATGCTGAAACCAAACAATCAAGTTGGGAAAAGCCAGATGAACTCAAGTCTAAGGCAGAGGTGAGAGTTGTTCCTACACTTGGCTGCAGGAGCAACTTAGACATTGATTTTCCCCCCCTTTTGTTGACATGTATTGGATCTCTGATAAGGGAAGGTCAGCCATCCTGAGCAGCAATCCCATCTGGTTTTTCTTCTAAAAAGTAGGGTTGGAGTCATAACCCTAAGAAATCCTGGAATATAAACACAGGAGATGATGAGGCTGATAAGGAACTGTAAAACAGGCACTCAGAGGAAGAGTGCATAGCATGGAGAAGATTTAGGGATATGGGATACCTTTGCAAGGGGGCTGATCTCAACCAATATTTGGGGGAAAATTTCTACCAGCAAAGAGTTTCTTTTGAAAAAAACAGTCTTCTTGGATCATGATGGATTCTACCTCATTGTGGGTAACTAATTGGAATCTGGACAACCATCTGTCAGAAAAGTTGTAATTCCAACATTCCTGCATTCAGCAGTTGATTGGGTTAGGATCTTTTTCAAGTCTAACCATGTCCATCAAATTCTCTCAGATTATTCCATGGAATCTGGGAGAATTTGTTGACTGCAGGACTTGCTACCATCAGATGAATGCGAACCAGATAGATGGTTTAGAACAGGGGTGTCAAACTGCCAACCCGTGGGCCGGACGTGTCACCAAGAAACCGTGCCCACCCCATTGGCGGCAATGGAGAAAAAGCTCCGATACGTCGCACGACGTCATGTGATGTTGCGAGTGAGGAAAGAATTGTTAAATTATTAAATGAAAAAAGAAACACATGGCCATTAGCAAAATAACCCCTTAGTACATATAGTTTGTAAATAACCCTTTAATAAGAAACCAAACTGGTTTTCACTCAAAATTCAGTTTCCCAAGCAGACAACCAAATGCTTTTTAAGATAACAGGATATAACTGCAGCTCTTGGCTTCACAATCAAGTCAGGGCTAATAGAAAAGGAGGCTTTTGTAGTTAAACATTTTGGGCATTTGATTAACTTATGATTTATGAATGCAGAAAAGGAATCAGTTCATTAACTGAGACAGGCAAGATTGATCATAGGTACGGATTGGTGTGTCAGTGCATAATTTTTCAGAAAAGGATAAAAGGATCTTTATCCCACAAAACACACACACACACACTCACACTATACACTTGCTAAGGCTGTCTTCTTTGCTTTTGCAGCTCTTGCTGTCACGCTGTCCTTGGCGTGAGTATCGCTCAGAAACTGGGAAATCCTATTACTACAACACTCAGAGCAAGGAGTCACGCTGGACCAGGCCACGAGAGTTGGATGACATTGAGGGTGAGGATCTCCAGGATCAAATCTGGGGTGGGGATTCTGTTCCTTGCAGTCCTCCTCTGATAACCATTCCTATTTTTGTTCTTCAGCATTGATCAAGGAGGAAGAGGAGGAAGCAGAGTAAGTTCCTGGAAGCAGGTTGCATCAAGAAGAGCTCAAAGAGCTGGCTGGGTAGGAGAAAAGGCAGCCCTACCCAGCAAGGATTGTCCCATGAGACGTGGGCACGGAGTGAGCGCTGGCAGGGCAGGGACTTCCCTTTTTCTTCCAAGCCTTCCCTAGATGTTGATTCATCTCTCTGGAAGATCTGCTGAACCTGGCATTCATCTCTCTGGAAGATCTGCTGAACCTGGCATATGGGTCACAAAACCTTCAGAAAACCCGAGCTTTGCCATTTGGCTTGCAAATTTGTTTCCAATTCTACTTGACGGTGGCAAGAAACTGAAAAATCACATGAAAATGCAGAACCCAAAAAGGGGATGAGTGGGATTTGGAGTGGTTGAGACTGGTCCTATGTCCCTTCTGTTGTTTACTTTTCTTGATGAGATGGAGCTGGCTGGAATCCATTGGGTGGAAAGTTCTCTAAACTGTGCAATACATTGGGCTTGTATTGTCCTGTTGTGAAATATTCATAGCTGCCATCTTCTTCCTTCCCAGGAGGCAACAGCTACCTCAGCAACTGGAGCCACCGTTGTCGGGCCCTGCCAGTCCCAGCCCGTCTTCTGCAGCCACCTCAGACACAGAAGGCACTGGGGGTGTTGAAGGGGCCCAAGGGACTGAGGGAGTCCCAGCTGCTGTTGAGGAGGTCACAAGCAGGTAATTCAAGAGGAGGGGGACGGTAGAGGGAAGGTGTTGATCTGTAACCAGGCCATCGCCAGCTTCCTAGCACAATGTTTCTCAGTCTTAGCCACTCTTAAGATGTGCGGATTTTAATTCCCAGAATTATCCAGCCTGCATGGGGAATTCTGGGAGTTTTTTCTTTATTTGTGTCAGAAACACCTTCAAGTTATAGACATACAACATGCAACACTGAGCAAGTTAAGAAGGTATAAAATAGATCATAGAACTACAGGTAGTCTTTGACTTACAACAGTTCATTTAGTGACAATACAATGTTACAACGGCACTGAAAAAAGTGACTTATGACCATTTTTCACACTTATGACCATTGCAGCATCCCCAGGGTCACTTGATCAAAACTCACGCACAGCCAGGTTCACTTATCAACCATGTTACTAACTTAACAACTGTGATTCACTTAATAACTATGGCAAGAAAGGTTGTAAAATGGGACAAAACTCACTTAACAGATGTCTCACTTAACAACATAAACATTTTAGCTCAATTGTGGTCGTAAGTTGAGGACTACCTGTATAGCACATGTAAAAAGTATGTAAAATAAATAGGATTCTGGGAGTTGAAGTCCACACATCTTAAGAGCTGCCAAGGTTGAGAAATACTGGTCTGGCAGATAGTGGAATCTCCACTCCAACCCATCAGGAAAGCATCAGATTGAGGAAGGCCAAAATAAGCCTGTTTAGGCTTTCAAACTAGGAGTTGGAGGACAAATAGAGTGGTAAAAAAAGAAGAGAGACGGAACTCCATTTGTTTGCCAATTTATCTGTATGGAAGGTTGCACTTGTTGTTAGTTGCGAAGTCGTGTCCGTCCCATCGCGACCCCATGGACAACGTTCCTCCAGGCTTTCCTGTCCTCCACCATCTTCTGGAGTCCATTTAAGCTCACACCTACTGCTTCAGTGACTCCATCCAGCCACCTCCTTCTCTGTCGTCCCCTTCTTCTGTTGCCCTCAATCTTTCCCAGCATTAGGCTCTTCTCCAGTGAGTCCTTCCTTCTCATTAGGTGGCCAAAGTCTTTGAGTTTCAACTCCAGGATATGGCCTTCTAAGGAGCAGTCGGGGTTGATCTCCTCTAGGACTGACCGGTTTGATCGCCTTGCAGTCCAGGGGACTCACAGGAGTCTTCTCCAGCACCAGAGTTCAAAGGCCTCAACCCCATGGACAGTACCAAAAGGCTGCACTATCCACCTGGAATTCCGAGCAGCGATCAGATGAATTTTTAAGCTGCCTCAATGCTTTACTTTATGTTTTGTCCAAATGTTTTGCTTTTCCTTGGGCAGTTGTGATCCCCTCCGGAGAGATGAAGAAGATCGTGGCAGTGCCAGTGCCTGGAGCAACAAAGAGGAAGCTAAACAAGCTTTTAAGGAGCTGCTCAAAGACAAGGTAATAACTGGAGAAGGGAAAGGAGAACAGAAATTAAAGAGCCTTCCTAGGAATCGGAGCCAAAAGTTCGTCAGATATAACATTTTTTATACCCATCGCTTACCCTGCCAGGAAAATGTTGGGTAGTTTTGTGTTCTGAGTGGTTTCTAATGAGAGTGAAAAGGGCCCATTCTCCTTGTTGTAGGACAGGGGTAGGCAACCTTGACTCTTTTATGACTCGTGGACTTCAACTCCCAGAATTCCTGAGCCAGCATGGCTCAGCTTGGAAACCTCTCCCTTCCCCTCAGCATGGCTGGCTCAGGAATTCTGGGAGTTGAAGTCCACAAGTCATAAAAGAGCCAAGGTTGCCTACCCCTGTTGTAGGAGAACAATGTCAGGGAACCTGTCCCTCTGGCAGGCTTTTTTTTTTTTTTTTTTTTCCAGACGGGGAGGAAAAGAAAATATTTTGCCTTAAAATTCAAGCAGAAGAAAATCAAAACACCAAACTAGTTACACCCTGACTCTTGTATTTGTAAAATAAAAAATGGGTCTAAAAGAAGGAGCCTGCCAGGTAAGGCAGGGCAGAGCTAACTGGTGCAGTCCAAGAGAAGGAGATATCACAGCTTGATTGAAATACTCCGTTTTCTGGCTTTAGGGTGTGCCGGCTAGTGCATCCTGGGAACAGGCCATGAAGCTTGTTAGCTGTGACCCCCGTTTCAGGTATGATCCTGGGTGGATGCATCTAGTTCCCTCCCTCCCTTCCCTACCCTATCAGATGTGAATCCAAGTTGCAGACCTGTATGATGAAAGTCTTACAGAGACAGGTCATTTGGTGCTCCCTGCCCATCCAACTATTTATTCACGTGGGGAACTAGAACTTGGATCCCCTGTTTTTCTTTGCCTGTTGCCCATATGAGCCAGCTCTTGACCTCTGGGGTTCTGTGTGTCCCAGTGCTTTGCGCAAGCTGAGTGAGAAGAAGCAGACATTCAATGGCTACAAGGCTCAACGGGACAAGGAAGAAAAGGAAGAGGCTCGACTCCGGGCAAAGGAGGCAAAGGAAGAACTGCAACACTTCTTGGAAGAACACAGCAAAATGAATTCCACCACCCGCTACAGGTACACAAGGATCAGGAGGCTTGGGAAGCAACAACCCAATGAGGGAAGGTTGGGAATCTGGATGACTCTCTCAAGAGCATTTACAGGTTTGTGAAGTGTCTTCCTGGCTAGGTCTTAAAGGATCCTTGGAAAGAAATAATAGTAGGTCTGGCCCAGTTTCTTGAATAACGCCAACTGCAATGGATCAATCGTTTTGCAAGGTTGCATGACTGAACCTGGCAGAGACTTGGCACTTCGGAGAACAGGAACGTGCATCTGCCAGTAATGAACCTAGAATTTACTGCTGGATTTCCTGTGAGCTAGAATGAGAGAGGTAAATGCTGAAAGAGTTGAAGCTTGAAGACCAGGAAAGAGATGTTACCTTGGCTATGCTAAGCAGTCCAATTTCCCCTGTTTAAGCATGAAACGGGAGGTTTCTGTTTCAGGTATCTCTCTGTTTTTTCTGCTGCCGCAACTCTTGTCCTCACCAGATCAAAGTAGAGGGATTGTTGCTTGGTTCTTCCAAGCATGGATGTCCCTGAGCACCTCACTCTGTCTGCTTCATAGACTAGGACAGTGGTGGAGAACCTATGGCACAGGTGCCAGAGGCGGCACTCAGAGCCCTCTCTGTGTGCACCCACGCCATCGCCCCAGTCCTAGGCCTTCAGCTGGGTTTTATACAACTTTTTCGCTTTAGGCCTCCGCCGCCATGTACAAAAAAAAAAAAGGTTCAATCAATCAGTCAATTTCAACTTCTCACGAAAAAAAAAAGATCTTGCAAAGTTGGAATTGATTGATTGAACTTTTTAGTCCCACCCAGTCTGCCATTACTACCGCAGCCACGCCCAGCCAATGGGCCACACCCACCCGGCACCCGACGATGCATAAGTGAGTTTTGGGTTGCAGTTTGGGCACTCGGTCTCTAAAAGGTTCGCCATCACTGGACTAGGATGTCCTTGAACTTTACCTATTCTCCCTTGAGGGTTATCACCCTATCCTCCATCTCCAACTGTCTTTTCTCTTTCCCTCCTCAGGAAAGCTGAGCAAATGTTTGGTGAGCTGGAAGTGTGGGCCGCGGTCCCTGAAAGGGATCGCAAGGAGATCTATGATGATGTTCTTTTTTTTCTGGCCAAGAAAGAGAAGGTAGGTCAAGAATGGGGCAAGGGTGGGAGTTCTTGATAACAACAACAACAACAAAAATCCAGGCATCATCCTTCCCCCATAGCCTTCCTTCCTAAGTAACAGCAGAAAGCCTAATCCTGATACTTGCTCCCAGAAATTGAGGGCAGGAATCCAAGATCCCTGAGATAGATACTAGCCACCCACATCCACAGAGTCCAATCCACAGTTTTATCTGAATTACAAAGTTGTTTTGACAAAATCCCCATCCCTTACATATATGTATGTGGGGCCTTACTTACAAAAAGAATGAAGTTTGCCTTGTGTGACATCCTGACACTTCCATCCCTTGCCCTGTACCTCCAGCAGAAACCCAAAGCCCTAGCATGAATACTACCCCTTTCGCCCCACCCAGGAGCACACCAAGCAGCTCCGCAAAAGGAACATTCAAGCTCTGAAGAGTATCCTGGACAGCATGAGCCGTGTCAGCTTCCAGACCACTTGGTCCGAGGCCCAGCAGTATCTAATGGACAATCCCAGCTTTGCCGAAGACGAAGACTTGCAAAGTGAGTCATCTTCCACCATCTCATTGCCTACCCTTGTCTTTCTAACTCTTGTCTTCACATGGTATGGGAACCATATCTTCTCATTAAGCCACAATGTAGGTTATTTATTTGGGCAGTGTATCTAATTGCTGCCTTCTAGAAGTCACAAACACTTAATTCTAGAAGGGTAACAAGCTGTCCTAACCTTCCGAATGCTGGGCCTGTCTGCTGCCCTGCTGACAGGTTGTGTCATGCCTCCGTCCGAGCTTGACTCTGAGGAAGACATGGAGTTCCCTGTTGAGGCTCAGGAGGGGGTGTCTGTGGCTTCGGAGGACTGTGGGGAGGAGCAGGCTGAGGCAGGCCAGGGCCCTTCAGGTTTGAAACAGGGAAGGCAGAGCTCAGGCGAGGAGCAAGGCCCCTCCCCACCAGATCCTAGAGCAAGGAGAGCAGAGAGGAGGAGGGAACAACGGAGGCAGGCTCACTTGCTCGGGAGGAGAGTGTCCCGCCCCACTCCCCAAGGCACACCTGGGGAGTAGGATTTAAGGAGACGCTGTGGGGTGGGGCATTTGCCGGGAACAAACGTGAAATCGTGAGATAGTGTGCTCTTGTAACCTGGACACTTTGTATTCTGGACCAGTTTGCTTCCTGCTGATCTCTCCTTGCAGTCTGCAGTTTGCAGTTTGCAGTTTGCAGTTTGCAGTTCACAGGCAAGCTGGGAGTTAAAAGGATTATACGTTTGCTTGTTATCTGTCTTGCTTTAAGAACAGTGTGAACTTCCCTGGCTGTTTTGTTTGAACTCGTGCCAGCATATGTGGGGGCTGTTGGGTGAACATTGGCAGTGATTAAAAAGACTATTGCTCTGGCCAACTGATTGCTTTGCCTCTGTTCGGGGCCCTGGGTCATCACAGGTTGGGCCACAACTTCTTAGGTAGGACAACTCTCCATCCTTAGAGCGTCCGACTCTCTTATGCTTCCTTCCCCTTTTGTCTGTACCTGAATCTCAGTCACCTCTCATTACACAATAAACTTGTACTTTTCCTCCTGTGTCACCATGGTTTTATCACTTAGCTCAGCCTGGCCTGCTCCCAACTTTCCCTCTTTCAGACATGGACAAGGAGGATGCTTTAATCTGCTTTGAGGAACACATCCGGACGTTGGAGAGGGAGGAGGAGGAGGAACGCGAACGGGGTCGATTACGGGAGAGGCGCCAGCAGCGGAAAAACAGGGAAGCCTTCCAGGTATTTGCAATCACAGCCATGAGCTAAGGAGGCTTTTGCTGGGGATTCTTTGGAAAGAAGAGTGTGTGGTTTGTCTTGCAGAGCAAGAACAGTGGCAAGGAGTCCACGCCTTGTAGATTTCGGTCATTAGCACTGAAAACATTTCTGGCAATCTTCAAGGTGGTGGGCTCCAAAGATGTAGGCAACCTCCAGAATTCTCAGCAATAACCATATTAACTGAGAAATTCCAGGATTTGAATCTGTGTATCAGAAGGGCACCCAAATTGGGGGAAAAAAAATCTAATAAAAAGAGTCAGATTGCAAATGATAGGAAAACCCTTTTATTGCTGTCACAATCCATAGCGGGCTAAATGGTGAATGGCCTGATTCAGCCTTTTTCATCCTCGTGTTTGCTAGATATTTTAGGAATACATTTTCAGACTTCCCAATAGCCACGATAGCTGGGAATTCTAGTACTCATCATCCAACACATTTGAAGAGCATTAGGTTGAACAAGGCTGCTCCGGTGAAGAATATTCTAGGTCATCATTTAATGTTTCTATTGTCCATCAACTGGAGATAAATAGATCAAAATTTCCATATACCAGGAAAGAAAAAAATCATTTTCATACCACCGGAACATTACTTGTAACTATTTTGTTTTAGCCTGTTTGTAGCTAGCTAATTATTTGGTTATGATTCCAGAAAAGGACTGGATATATACTAGAATTCAGCTTCCTAACATGTTGGCTGTCTTTAGTTTTTGAATAAAAGTCTAGATATTAGCGAGAGAAGATGCTTGCAGAGAGAGGGCTCATATAACTGCCAGTTATTGCTTTTCTGTCATATTTAAAAGGAATTCCCATTGACTTTCAACCATTCAAAGCAATGTTTCCCAACCTTGGGAACTTTTAAGAAGTCGTGGACTTCAACTCACAGAATTCCCCAGCCAGTAATGACTGGTTGGAGAATTCCGAGAGTTGAAGTCCATACTTCTTAAAGTTCCCAAGGTTGGGAAACATGGCTTTAGAGAACCTCAGTTTTTTGTTCATGGACCTTCCTACAGATCTGCAGCACAACCAGGGGGTAGCATTTTACAACCATTGCAGACCCTGCCTCCCTCTATTGCAAACTGTGTTTTGTATATGTTTAGGTTTTTTTTCATTTACAGGCAAATACATGTTGTCCTTGACTTACGACCACAATTGAGCCTAAAATTTCTGTTGCTAATGCCCCATTATATAATCTCTTTTTGCCATAGTTGTTAAATGAATCATTGTAGTTGTTAAGTTAGTGACACGGAACCTGGCTTCCCCCATTGACTTTGCTTTTTCAGAAGGTCGCAAAACGTGATCACATGACCCCCGGGACATTGCGACCATCATAAATATGACTCAACTGTCAAAATGTCTGAATTTTGATCACATGAACACGGGAATGTTGCAACAGTCGTAAGTGTGGAAAAACAGTCACGTCACCTTTCTCAGTGCTGTTGTAACTTTGAATAGTTACTAAATGAACTGTTGTAAGTTGAGGACTACCTGTAGAGTGCTTTCTTGCTTCTGAAAAACGGTTAAGATGGATCCATAAATCCTGATGCCCATTTTATACTCCTTGTAGGAAACTTTCTTGCATTTTCCTAATCAGTTTCAGAAACCTGAACTGTGACTGCAGAATGCCCCTATTCCTTTCCCCCCAATATTTGCAGAGTCTTTTTTGATCTATTTTTCCCCCAAATTGTTTTTCTTCAAATGAGAAAAAAAGAGCCGGGAGGAATTTGGAAAACTTGTTACTTTTATTTAAGGGAGGAGAAACAAAGTAGCTCAGCCAGGCTCCAGTGTGAGGATTACTTGGGTTTTGGAAGAACATAAAAGCCTCAAGAGAGCACCACAAGTGATAAAATAAAGGGGGGCAGGTGTAACCCTGTAAATCAGGGGTGGACAATTAATTTTCCCAAGCAGCCACATGAGAAACTGGGACTGTTGCTGAGGGCTGAGCCAATAGGCTGAACTTAATTTTGCTCAATATTAATTTTATCACTTTATAAAAAGCAGCAAATTCTGTGGTTTTGATTAGCTGCTACTGGTAAGAATACATGTTACGATAAGACTGAAAATGTGGAACCACATAGCATATATTTATTTACGTTTGATTTCTAATTTCCGATTGATCTCACGTAGGCTGGACAGGGACAGCCAAAGGGCCATATGTGGCCCAGGGGCCATAAAATGCCCAGGTCTGCTTTAGATACCCCTGAACAACTTTTAGCCCTCCTTATTGTGGACCACACTGGCTGCATGTTGCTGTGGTAGAGAAAAGAATCACCTCATCCTTCTACGAGATGATCATTTTGATATACCTCATCACTCCTATTTTCTCACATTTTTGTGTGCTTCCTGGAATGCTGCATGACAGTTCTTCTCTTACTGCCATTTTTAAAATCACAGGTACCTTTGATTAAATTGTGGCCGTAAGTCCACTTACAAAAACATTCATTTTGTGAGTGTTCGAAGTTACAACGGCACTGAAAATGGCACTTACAACCGTTTTTCACACTTACAACCATTGTAGCATCCCCATGATCACATAATCAAAATTCAGATGTTTGGCAACTGGAATGTATGTATGACAGCTGCAGTGTCCTGGGGTCATGTGTTCACCTTTTGTGACCTTCTAACAAGCAAAGTCAATGGGGAAGCCAGATTTACTTAACAACAGCGTTACCAACCTAACAATTGCAGTGATTCACTTAATAACTATGGCAAGAAAGGTCATAAAATGGGGGAAACCTCACAACTATCTTGCCTAGCAATGGAAATTTTGGGCTCCATTGTGGTTATAAGTCGAGGACTACCTGTACTTAAAATGAGAGTAGAGCATGGCAGATGTATCAATGTGAAAATATGAGTTCTGTGCTCACGGCATTGTCTGGACGCTCTGGAAAATGGCATACCGTACAGGCAAATGGCACAGTAATTGTCTAGCAGTCTCCAGGGAAGTACGATAAAGAGGCTGGAACACAGGAGTATAAGTTTTCCAGGAGTTAGGGGCAAAATTCTGATACTAGCTTTTTTAAAAGTTGTACTTCTCGGGTCAAATTTTGCAGTTCATCCCAGGGCCTTTTTTCCCCCTGCTTTTTTCCTTCCTCTCTTCATACTGTACGTGGAGTGCTCTGTGGTATCTGAAATGTTTGAGTTTCCAGATGGGCATTGGAAGGGCAGGGGGAAGGAAGTCTTGAAGAAACCTCTGTGCCAGGGCAGAGGGAGGTGGGTTTCAGGGCCTGCTTTGGGGCACATGGCCTCCCTGGCAGGGCCTGTGACTGGGGGAGGGGCTGACTCCCTGATCTCTCTCACTCTATCGTAGAATAACCAGGCTGCTTCTTGCTCAGGCCTTCTTGGACGAGCTTCACGAATGCGGGCGCCTTCACTCCATGTCCACTTGGATGGAGCTGTATCCCTCCCTCAGCACCGACCGACGCTTTGCCAACATGTTGGGCCAGCCTGGTAAGCAGCCTCAGGCAGGAATCCCTCCCTCCCTGCCTCTCTTTTCCAGAAAGGGTCCATCCCTCTTCCCCAAATTATGGGCATGGGTCAAAATAGTCCATCCTCCTGGGTGGTGTTTGGGACGACTTGAAATGTCGCACTTGGGTTTTCAAATATTTATTTACTAGATTTGAGATCTTCCCGTTGGAAAAGCTGAGGACTGGCCCTAAGTCTAGGGATTAAACTCCGTGAACCAAGAAGGCGGGTTGAGTCAGGGGCTTCACTAAGGGTTTTTAAAGGTATCTCCTGCCTTACTTCAAAGATTTTCCATGCCTCCTGCCTTAAGGGAAATGTTTTCCGTTTTGTCTTCCAAGCAAGCCCTTAAATGCGTCCTTGAATTATAAATATGTGCATCATAAGGAGGTTTTTAATTTATGCTTATTAAGAGTTTTTCCATACAATAAAGACAAATCGAAAAAAGGGAAAGGGAATGAAATGGGGAGAAAAAGGAAAGGAAAAACAAAAGAGTGCAAGAAACAAAAAGAGTTGAGACATATAATGACTCCCAACCTTGTTTTCAATAGATAGTTAAAATTTTGTAATCCTTCTTCCCTCTTAGATATAAGTCCCTTCAGCTCATTTTACCCAAGCTTATCTTAATCTTCAAACCCACAAATCATCATTTTTTTTTCTTTTTAGCAAAAAGTCCATCTAAGTTTTTTAGTCTCAAAAAAAGTTTTGTTTTGTTTTTCTCTGATCAACAGGCCAGTTTTCCAGTTCTAACTTTTTTCACAAACCGTTCTTCTACTGTGGGGATTTCATTGTTCTTCCATTATTGTGCATGCAGTAATCCACCACGAGCATGTTCCTGAGCATGTTCTTTTCCCTCAAGGATGTTATGGGTCATATCCATCCTTTGGACTTCCCTGTCACCTGTTGTGGGCACTCATTCCGAACCAAGTAAAAGATCCCCAGGGGCACAGTGTGGGATGTGTTTCGGGTTGCTGAATTTCCGAGAGAGATAAGTAATAAAGGAATAGGAGGTGTGGACAATTCCTTTTGTTTCGGATCGCATTGTTGGTCATGCATTGCTCATTTATTCTACTTCATAGCCTGCTTTCTACCCTGTAACTTAAGCCAGGGCTTTTCAACCAGTGGTACGGGTACCACCTGTGGTACATTGGCACTTGGCGTGTGGTACGCGACCATCCTAGAAAAGTGGTAGCGGGGCAGGGGAATGAGCTGAACTGGTGGCAGCACCGCACAAGCCTGAGTGAGAGATGGATGGAGCTGCAGGGCTGTCAGGGCTGAGCAGAAGCACCAGGATCAGTGCCACTTTCCAGCTGATCGGTGCTTCTTCGGGGCTGTCAGGGCTCAGTGGAAGCCCCAGGATCAGCGCCAGGCTCCAGCTGGAGCTCGGCGCTGATCCTAGTGCTTCTGCTGAGCCCTGAAGAAGCACCAATCAGCTGGAAAGCAGCACTGATCCTGACGCTTCTGCTGAGCCCAGAAGCGCCGATCAGCTGGAATGTTGCAGCATCTCCAGGGTCTTGTGATTTACATTCAGATGCTTGGCAACTGATTCATATTTATGACGGTCACAGTGTTCCAGGGTCATGTGAAGTGACCAAAACCTGCTGCAACCACCCAGCAGATGAGGGGGAATAAAAACCAAACACCCCCCACCCCACCCCCACTGCCAATCCTCAACAGAAATGCTCACAGCAATGAAAACCTCCGACAGGAGGAAGAGCGCCACTAGGTGGGCAGGCAGGTGTCTTGCTCGGCTGTGGCTTGGGGGGGCACTTTTTTCAGTGCCATTGTAACTTCGAACAGTCACTAAGTGAACTGTTGTAAGTCGAGGACTACCTGTACTTTATTACTTTTTTCCTTTTTTTTTGGTCATCAAGTTTTTGACACCTTGCTAGGCGACTGGTAGTACTTGGATATTGCCATATCCTAAAAGTGGTACAATGGGTGAAAAGGTTGAAAAGCCCTGACTTAAGCTGATAGACACAATGGGGTAATTTTTCAACCACGTTTCAGTGAAATGACGGCCTTATATTCTCCTGGGCCTAAAATCTTAAGAAGTTCCGGAAGCTGCTTGAAAACTAGGTGGGCGGATCTTCTTTGCACCCAGGACTAATAATGCAAGGGCTACTTCCTGCTGTTCTTCTGTTCACAGGCTCCACCCCGCTCGATCTCTTTAAATTCTATGTTGAAGATCTGAAGGCCCGATTCCATGACGAAAAAAAGATCATCAAGGACATTCTCAAGGTGCAGCCGGAAGGTTAACAACCAGAATATGAGCTAGAAATACTTTTGGGTGCAAAGCTATTTCCTTTAAGGGGAATTACGTCTCACTCTGTGATACCAGTTAGCTGGGGGTCCTCCTTAGGCACCGCCATCGTGACTTTTGGGAGAACCATAAGACATTCCCTCTGAAACATCCTTCTTTGTACAGGACAGAGTTCTGTCCCATTTTGATGCTTGCGTTTGCTTTAAAGCAGTGTTTCTCAACCTTGACAATTTTAAGGCGTGTGGACTTCAACTCCCAGAATTCCACAGCCAGCAATGCTGGCTGTGGAATTCTGGGAGTTGAAGTCCACATGCCTTAAAATTGTCAAGGTTGAGAAACACTGCTTTAAAATAAAAGCAGGCCAGGGGGAACTGGAGCTGACCTGGGCTGCATTTCCAGCCCCTACTTGATCCAGAGAAAAGGCCTTTTCAGAGAACCCCGTAAAAAGATGGAAGTCTATAGTGGATTTACTTTAGTATTCCTTAATTCCTTTTGCATGTTTTAGAAGTAAACACCGGGGCTTTGAAGGAGGGAAAGTTTAACCATGACCTTTTCCTGCCTCTCTCCTTTTCCCTTTTTCTCTTTCCTTCGTAGGACCGGAGCTTCAGTGTGGAAGTAAATACAACCTTTGAGGACTTTGCCCACGTCATCAGTTTTGACAAGCGTGCTGCCACGCTGGATGCTGGCAACATAAAGTTAACTTTCAACAGTGTGAGTGGAGCAGGGTGGGATCCTAGGCTTCTTCACCTTGGTGACTATCCCTACCATGTCCCAAAGGTGCTTTTTCAAGAGGCAGCTGAGAATCTCCATATAGACACAGATCCCCTGTCACAGTGATGGCGAACCTTTTAGAGACCGAGTGCCCAAACTGCAACCCAAAACCCACTTATGCATCGTCGGGTGCCGGGTGGGTGTGGCCCATTTGGTGGGTGTGGCCCATAGGTGGGCATGGCTGCAGTGGTAATGGCAGACTGGGTGGGACTAAAAAGTTCAATCAATCAATTCCAACTTTGCAAGATCTTTTTTTTCCCTGCAAGAAGTTGAAATTGACTGATTGAACCTTTTTTTTTGCACATGGCGGTGGAGGCCTAAAGCGAAAAGGTTTTATAAAACCCAGCTGAAGGCCTAGGACTGGGGCGACGGTGTGTGTGCCCACAGAGAGGGCTCTGAGTGCCGCCTCCGGCACCCATGCCATAGGTTCGCCACCACTGCCCTATCATGTTCAAATAAATGTTTGTTGGGATTGTCTGACTTCTCTGTCTAACAATGCTGGGGCTGAGAAGCCACCCAGTGTGGCAGCTGGGTATTAGGGGTCAGTACAGTTGGAAGAAAGGTCTTCTTTACAAGTAAGCAGACAGAAAAGGTGATGGCTGCTTTTGCAAAAGCTGGTCAGGCAAATCCAGGGAGGGGCAGGTCTGTGAACTAGACCCAGTTTGGCCTAGGGCAGGGGTAGGCAACCTTGGCTCTTTTATGACTCGTGGACTTCAACTCCCAGAATTCCTGAGCCAGCCATGCTGAGGGGAAAGGGAGAGGTTTCCAAGCTGAGCCATGCTGGCTCAGGAATTCTGGGAGTTGAAGTCCACCAGTCATAAAAGAGCCAAGGTTGCCTACCCCTGGCCTAGTGCCTAAGAAACCAGACTAGAAACCAGAAGACACTGAGTTCTAATCCCACCTTAGCCATGAAAGCCTGCTGGGTGACTTTGGGCCAGTCACTCATTCTCAGTTTAACTCACTGCACAGGGTTGTTGTTGTTGGGGAAAAATAGGAGGAGGAAGGTGTGTTGGATATGCTCACTACCTTGGATCATTTGTAAAAATAGTAAAGACAGGATGTAAATAAAATAAAATGAAGCTCTGACATCAGAGGCAGTTGAACCACCGAGGAGACCTTTTCGTGATAGGAATGCTTTGTGGCTGATCGTTCTCTCCCATTGCCTCCCCACCCCAGCTGCTGGAAAAGGCCGAGGCACGGGAGCGTGAACGGGAAAAGGAGGAAACCCGTAAGATGCGGCGCAAGGAGGCAGCCTTCAAGAGCATGTTGCGTCAGGCAGCTCCTCCCCTGGAACCCAACATCGCCTGGGATGAGGTGAGATCTGCTCCTTGCAGGGCAGGTTTTCTGGCCGAGGGTCAAATGGATGCTAAGGAAAGAGGATGGCAGATTACATCTGGATAATAATAGAACAATCGGCCCAACTGTTGAATGTATCTTTTGGTATCAGGACATGGGCATTTCCCACCCTTGGAGAACACCCCCCCCCCCGTGTTTCTGGGTGCCTCCTTAATGGAGGAAGGTCAGCCTAAGAAGGCAAAATTCCTACAAGGATGTACTTGGCAGTCTCGTTTTTGGAGCAGGTTGTTCTGCAAGTTTGTCTCAAAACAATGGATGCTTCTGTCCAAACCAACTTAAGAGAAATTGGAGATCCCCATCATTGAGCGAGCAAGTAGCAAAAACAGTGAATTAGGCCAAAGGCTTCAGTTTCCCCCCCCCC